GAAAAAGCAAAAGCACCAGTCCAAGTTTAGGATAAAATGCAAAGAACATGGCATTCTGTGTTTAATGAATAAGCACAATGTGAAGCCATCATCTGTCCAGGCTGGAAATTTCAGGATCATTCTAGACCTTCCTTTTCTTCATTCCCGCAATGATAACAGCGGCTCGTACTTCCTGAGATGTCCTTGGTCCCAGGGGCTTATCTGAACCAAGTCCTCAAATCCTCCCAGCAGCCTGTGAGCTGGAATTAATATTCCCATTCTGCAGACAGGAATCTGAGGCTGAGAGGGGCCACACACTTCGGCTGGTTCAGGCCACACCCTTGGCCACCTCTCTTCGGCTGCTCCCAGTTCACCAAAGTCGGGCCAAGACTCTCCCCTTTCCCTGGTCTAGCCTGTCCGCCCACACCCACAGCGTTTCTCGGCTGGATGGCTGTCACTGCCCAGCAGATAGCCACACAGGGCTTGCCCCTTGGGTGAAAGCCAAGCTTAGCTCTGTCTGCAGGAGCAGCCCAGGCCCTTGTAACCTTCGACACACACCTGACCCAGATCAGCCTTGCCCTGCCCAGGGAAGCCCTTTCTGACTTCTTTGTATGGCAAAGTCTCCCTCATCTAAGACAACGCTGCCTGGCAGGTTGGGCTCCTGGCTGGGTTTTCCTGACACTCAAGTGCCATTTGGAGTTTTCAGTATTGGTGAAGTCAGTATTGTGGGTATGAAAGACTTCTTAGCATGTCTGTGTCCCCTGCTCTCAGAGGGACAGGGACCCTGTCATAGTGAGACATGAAGCATGATGGTTAACCTCAGGGGTCCAGGAGCCACTCTGCTGGAATCAGGATCCACACCTACTTGCTGTGTGACTTTGGGTAAGTCACGTAACCTCTCTGTGCCTCACAGTCCTCATCTAAATTGTATCTACCACATAAGGTTGTCACAGGATTAAGTGAAGAAGTAAAGCACTTCAAGCAGCACCTCGCACCCAGTGGCACTGGCAAGTCATCTCATGATGCATGTGCTGAGTGCCTGCCTCTGGCTGAAGAAAGTCCAGCAGCTGAGCACGCTGTGTGGATCCAGCCTCTCTGGGTACCATCTAGAGAACCTGGCAGTGTGATGATCATGTTACCTGTGACGGAAGAGAGCAGCCACAGCTAGGAACCCCTGTGTCTGCCCCAGCGCCCCAGATCTTAGAAGTTGCTGTCACTGGAAACGATGCAGACAGAACAAGTCCCCTGAATCGTGTGGAGTGGGAAAAATCACTTCAAATCTGTTTTTTCAAATCACGTTATTTTAAATGCCCTGGGCAGATGCCCACGTGTGCAGGGACACTCAGCCTGTCCAGAGGCGCTTTGTCTCTTTGAAAGGCCCTATTGTGACCCCACACCGGCCCCAATTGATTCCCAGAACAACAGGCCCTTGTGTGGGCCCCAAAGGCAGGCTTGCTCCAACCCACGGCTGGCAGCGCAAACCCTTTGCTGTCTCTTTAAGGTCAGTGTACAACAGCCTTCAATCCTCCATTTGGGCTGCTTTGCTGCAAAAATAGTCCTACAACCTGTGGGGGCGAGGGTACGAGATGCTGCTTAGAATTCAGCTCTTGAATGTTCATGAAGCCCGGTTCCTATAAACCATGTCTTCTCTAGAAGGGGGCTCTATCGTGTGCAGAATGGGGGGCAGGAGCTTGGCTCCCTTGGACACCTCCCAGGCCACCCTTCCCCTGCACAGGGAAGGCCATCAGGAGGGTACCCCAGGAATCCCCCTGAAGCAAGGTGCCACAGCCCGGAAGTGACAGGCCATAGCCTCTAAAATGTCCTGGTTGAATTTGGCTAGTAGCTGCCTTTTGCTGATTGCCCTTTGGTGACACGCACCCTCCCCATGTGTGTCCATAACAAATCATAAGCCCTGTGGAGCTGCCTGAGTGCCATGGAAGACAGGAGGGAGTGCACTGATGAAATCACTGTCCAGTCAAAGCCACACCGGAGCGCTCCCAGCCAGTGTCCCAAAGCCCTGGCCGAACCCCACTCAGAAGCCCCCTTTCACCTGGCATCTGTTCACAACAAGGTCTCGTCTCACTGTCATTTCCTGAGAGGCCAGAGGACAGATATGCATGAGCTCAGGTCAGCTAGAGCAGCCCTAGGGCGCTGGGCCTGCTCACTCATGCGGCCGTGTTTACTGAGCACTGGACCCATGCCCTCCTGGCACCTGGCCGGGTGCTAGTGTTCCTCGGTCCACGGATAGCACACAAGCCACAGGGACAATCAGGGGAGGAGGAGGAGGCCCTTAGCAGTGACTCAAGAGGCCCAGTTGGTCCAAACTCCCGGTCTCTTCTCTGTTGGGCCCAAGACTTGGTAGGGATGGCTGTGGGGTGACTGACTATGGTTTGGCCTATTCTGTAAACTTTGGCTCTTGGTCACATCATAAACTTTGGCTTCTTCCTAATCCTTTCTCAGGCTTGTGGATAGATTTAGCTCTTTATTCTCTGAGCATAAAAATACCCAGTTCCTCACCTTTGCAGAGTATCAGCTGGACTGGGCTAGCCTTTGGCTCTGTGCGGGCTGCAAAGTACACCCAGTCAGTTACCTGAGCTGTTGTGGCTGTGACTACAGCTCTGAGCAGCCAGCTCCTCTCCAGAAGACAGCTGAGTCCAGGGCCTGGCCATGGCTTGCTGTAGGCCCTGGTGGTGATCCGGGGCTGTCTTAAGTGCCTGGCTTCACTCTCTGAAGGGCCCTGCCTACTGGCATCATGGCACCACTAAATCTCACTGCTACTTTCTGGGAGGTGGGAGGACAGCCCCTTGTGAGGACAGGTCTGGGCACCTTGAGAGCTCCAGGGCCAGAGGGAGGCGGCCCTCAATCTAGCTGCACTTTTCACCACCTGCACCAGCCTCAGTTTCCTCATCTGTAGGATGCCACTGGAAAAGTGACAAAGGCTATATATGGAAGGTGCTTACGCAGTGCCTGGCACAAGACAAGAGCCTCAAAATGGCAGAGAAGATGGTTACACAGGAGTGAATTTGGGTCTTCTGGGCAGTTATATTCGATCCAAGTGAGGGTCACCAAACAGGCAGTCTCTGAGTGCCTTGGGTGGCACCAGGCTCTGCCCTAGAGGAAGTCCCCTCCTGTATAAGACCCAGAGGTAGAGAGGTGAGGTGTGCCAGACAGAAGCAGCTTTGGGAACTAGACATCATCCTCCCAATGGTCCCGGCACACAGAAAGTGCTCAGCTGGTGACCCTGCTCTGCAGCCTGCTTCACCTAGCAGGCTTATTTAATGTCCTCATTCGCAGCCCTTCCTACCCAGGCACCGTGGGCTCCCAGGGGAGCAGCACCCATGGCTGGCAGGGCTGCTGCCAGCACACATGTGTACCTGCAAGCATGAAACAGCCGGAAACGGCCAGAGCTGGGCACAGAGTTGCTGGAGCAAACAAACCTGACAGGGGGTGGGGGTGGGGGCGGGGGGCAAGGAGGAGAAGCAAGACTGGGAGGGGGTATTTTTTTGAGGCTGGAAATGAAATCTTGCCTGTTCAATTCACATCCAAGTCAAATGTGAAATGAAACTGCAAATTGAAAACATGCCCAGGGATAGAAGGACTAAGAAAGTGGTGGCAGAGGACCATCTGCAAAGCCTTTGGTTAAAGAGAAAATAGAGAAAGAGTATATGAAAGGTTTTTAGAAAGACAATGATTAAAATGTCAAAACAGTGAGAAGCCCGTGGGAAACTAAGCCTTCCATTTCTTCTTTTTTTGATGAGAGTAAGAAGTGAGCTTCATTAACATGATGTTGCTGGCTTCCTGTAATGCAACTGGACAGTTTTGTTGAAAAATGAGGCTTTCCTCCATCAACACTTGATGCAAGTTTTGTTAAACATGTAACAAACTTCCTATTACTTCTCATTGGTAGTTGAGTTTTTTAAGGTGAGTCTCCAGGCAAACCTTTTACTCATGATGTACAATGAAATGCTGGCTGTTTGAAGTGGACTTACTAAATGTGGTTGGTTTCTGGTACCAGTTATCCTGGGTTAACAAAGGACCTCCTGAATAGACCAATTTAGCTGTAGAACCTCCAAGGTGAAGAGGAGTAAAATGTCCACTAAACTCACCACTTGAGGCTTGAATTTTATTTTATTTTATTTTAGAGACAGGGTCTTGCTCTGCTGCCCAGGCTGGAGTGCAGTAACACCATCACAGCTCACTGCAACCTCAGACTCCTGGGCTCAGGTGATGCTCCCACCTCAGCCTCCTGAGTAGCTGACCACAGGTACCTGACACTGTTCCTAGCCTGAAGCTTGAATTTTTGCCTCCATGGCTGCCAGCAAGAGGTCACAGATGCTCTGCCACACACCTCCATGGCGGGAAGCTCGCACGTCTTGGAGCACCTGTCCTAGGGTCTCATCACTGGAATGGCGCTAATTCCTGGGAGCCATGGAGTAAAGGAGCATTTCATAACAGAGCTGTGCTTTCCAGATTCCTAACTCAGTGCCTTCCTCCTAATCATCCCATCTCCTTTCAACCCAGACATCTCAGATCGGAAACATGGCATTCCCCCTCTTGTCACTGTACTTCCTTTCACTCCGTAATTTCCCTTCCTTTCTCTCCTATGGAGTGGCCTAAGGAAATTCTAAAATAATGTATGATCCACATAATTGGAACAGAACAGACTGTGCAGAACATTCCGATGAGTTTCACAATGAGTGAATGGAAACTTCTGCACTGTGTTTTCTTTTGGAGGTTCTAGTGGGGCACAGACCACTGTGTCTTGTAGGAAAGAGAAGGGTCCCTGGGCTGGCACTTAGCCAGTTTCCAGAGAGAGGGGAAGCCATCTGGGCAGGTGGCTGGGAGGGTGGGCTCCCCAGAGTGCAGTGGCTGGGCACACACAGTGTTGTCTGAGCTGCCACCTGATGCTATCTCTTGAGATTCAGGTTAAGTCAAAGGATTCCTCAGAAAGAAAGCTGAAATGATGGCATTCCTGATGCCTGGGAATTCAATCCAAACCCAAAAAACACCCAACAAATGTATTGAACATAAAGACACTTTATAAAGTATTTCAAAGGGTTATCATCTTCCACCATGGATATTTGGAAAGATCTGTTGAGTGAGTTTTAGTCCCCATGACACGCAGACATCCATGAAGACTTAAAACATGACACAAGACGGGGTGCTCAGGAGAGCCTGTGGAAAATTCCAGATGGCCCTTCTCAAAAGCTGGTCCAGGGGTCAGCAGGGGATCTTTGTTTCCTTCTTAGGTCATGGTCCCCACTTCCCACCCCCGAACAAGAAGGTCCCCTTTCACAAACAGGAGGTGACCTAGCAGACAGTGAAGCAGTCGGAAGTTAGACACAGCAAGCTCCCAACCCGGACTCGAAGGCACACTGGAGAGTCAACATGGCACCCACAAGCAACAGGGCAGGGTTTTTTTTTGGCGGGGGGAGGAGTTGTTTTCTTTTTCTCACCATCGAGGGCATTTCTGTTTTCTAAAAAGTTATGCTGGAAGGTGGGGCGACCAGTTAACACCATCTGGGTTTTCAGCTTAAGTTCTGCTGCGGCTTTATGAAGACTTCCACCTGATTAAAGAGAACACTGCATGGACCACGTAGAGCAGTGTGGCTACGTAGGAGAACACCTGGAACCAAGAGAAATGGCCGTTAATGGGCTTGCTCAGGGAGGACAAGGCACAGTGTTTGCACTGCATCCAGCCCCACATGGCACAGGGTTACCAGACCCAGAGAGCATGAGCTGCCATTGCTTCTCATCCCTCACGTGGAGGACGCCCTCCCTGCTGAGCCCAAGTGTGCACCAAATCCTCTCAGTACGGAGCTGATGTGACCTATGGGCTCCTGGACCTGGTGTGCAAGGTAAGAGTCTCCACTATCACCCACCATCTTCAGCTTGAGGTCTCAGCTGACTTAAGATGGAGTCCTCAAAGGCCCCTCCAGTGAAAGCATCTCAGGCAGGGACAGCTTCCCTCCCCACACCAGTGAGATCAGCACCCACCAGCTGTGGTCCTGGTAGCTTGGTTGAGAGATTGTAAAGAGCTGAGTTTGCTGGCCCTGGTGAAAGTCTCCATGCTGCTTGGACATCCTTGACCTCTCAGGATTGTGTTCTAGGGTTCTTAATATCACAGGTGTGGCCAAGGGAGCCAGGCTTCATAGGAAGTGAGGGACAGGGATTTTGAGCTTTTGTCAAAAGAAGGGGGCTTACTGTTGGGACCATGCAGTCAGACACTGTGGCCTGGGAGGGATGGCCCTGCTCTCTGGGGACTTGCTGTGTCCTCCTGGGCACCGTCTGCTCCCATCACCATACTCCCTAAACATTTGCCTGCTGCCAAATCCAATCTCTACACCTGGTTTTGTGACCTTGAGTGGAGGTCAGAGTTTCCAGTTCAGGCACAACATCCATTTAGGGTGGCTATGCTTCTGTGACTCCTGAAAATGCCCATCAACCCCAGCCCTCAGGGTGCCTGCCCTCCTGCCCCCACGCCTGGGCAAGCGCTTTCTCTCATGGCCTGGAGGTGGTGAGTAAGCCAAATTATTGAATAACACATTTACGAGAATGTATCCAGGGAGGAGCAGTCACACACCAGAGGCAGCCCTCCAAAAATGTGGGCATTCCAGACCAATGGGAGCCTTTGGCAGAAGCACCTTGGAAGTCCCCAGCAGGAAGAGCAGTGGAAACTCATTTTCCAAGTAGGACCAAGAAATGGCCCACTGGGAAAACATAGAGCTGGCATGAATGGACATGCTTTGGCTTCAGAAAGCCCTCTCCCTAAACTGCAGCCATAAGTGCCCACCATAGTTATAATCGAGAAGCCTCCAGATTTCTCCAGAAATCTCCATCTCACCTCAGTCAGCTTCCACCGGTCCCCAGGGTCCCTTTAGGAAAGCAGCTCTGCCACCCACAAAGGAGAGAGGGAGGAGCTCAGTTTGGGACAGACCCTAATTAGTAGCCACAGAGTGGATGTGAGGCAGGCTGGCTGCCTCCAAAACCAGGTTGTGTGAGAGAGGGTGTGAGGCGCCTCTCTGTACCCGAGTATCCCCTGGACTGGGCATGCTGTGGCTCGGGCTGGGGGGTCTGGGGTTGAATCCTGAGTAATGAACTTCTTTCTCCCCCACGAACAGATGCAGTTGAGACTGTGGGTAGAAAGGCGTGACTTTACATCCAGCACCATGCGGATTCCCCCTTGGTGGTTTTGTTCGGGCGCATCTGCCAGCTGAGAACACTCTGGTTCTTGATTCTAATGGTCCTGTCTGCATGAGCTTATTTGTGTCTATCCAACTCAATTAAAAAAATGGGGAGATGGTCAGTTGTGGGATGGATAAATAGCTGTTGGTCTATTCCTACAAGGGAGTACAATATAGTAATGAGAACAAACAAGCCACATGTACAGCCAGCCACATGGATGAATCTCACAAACACAAGGGTGAGAGAAAGAAGCTGCACATGAGTACCCACTGTGTAATTACACTATATGAAGTTCAAAGGCAGGCAAAACTGAACGGGTGCTAGAAATCAGAATTGGGTGGCGGTGGGAGTGCACAATGATGGGGATAGGATTTGAGGGCATTTCTGGGAGTGGTTTATCGGGCTCTATTTCTTAGTCCAGATGCCAACTACATAGGGGAATTCACTTTATGAAAGTTCATCAAGCTGTGCGCTGGTAACTGCACACCTCTCTGGCTGTGCGCTGCATTTTGATCAAAGGTAAGAGAAAAATCAGAAGGCAGTAGAGCCTAGTGGTTCTCAACTAGTGACCTGTCCAGTGGGAAGGGGCATTCATTCCCCTGTCTGGGTTTTTTCCATCAAGTGCTGACCCACTACCCACATCCCATCTACATTTCACAACCCTTGTCCATAACAATTTTATGGAAATTGTTGTCAGACACTTTGCTGATATTTGTTAGAAGGCTTGGTTGGGATGGGGGAGGTATGAGGCAGTCTTGGGAGAGGGAGATGAGACAGAACTGTGTGAAGAATGATGGAGGGTGGGTCACCAGCCTCCTGGGGAAGGTTGATCCATCAAGATGACACCTGGCTGTGTTGCTGCTTGGAAACCAGCCATGTTGGGAGATGGGCCAACACGGGAAATGTTTCCACACTGTGAGGCCCCTGGGGAGATGCCAGGATCCTGAGGGGGCCCTCTTTAAGGGAGCAGTTGTAGGCTGGGAACTTGAGGGCAGTGTGTGGCTTCCCCAGGCCAGGGGACTGTGCAGAGGGACCACCAGGTGAGGCTTTGAGGGACCCTCCCCTGAAGAGTTACCTCACCAACCTCATTCCCAAGGCCCAACTCTGCCCATCTGTGGGTCTTCTCTCAGCCTCCGTCCTACACTTTTCAAAAAGAGGGGACGGCACAGCTTTGGCCACTGGAGCTGTTATCTCAGGATCTATCACCACATTCTACCTTGGGATTTGCATAATTCATAGGTCAAGTTCTAGAGATCTGAAGGATGCTATTTTGGAAACTTCTTACTTTTTAACAATAACCCGTGGTTAGAAGCATGTTTTATATTATAGACTGGTGCAAGGGAACACATGCACAGCTCTGAAAAGCGCTTGATGAAACAATACATTCTGTTACCCTGTCATTCTGATCCAGTCCATTAAAAAGAAAATCCACTTGACTTCAGCGTTCCCACCCCTGGCTGGATGCTTCAATGGACAACCACTCAGGGAGAGTCAGGAGACCCATGTGGCCAGACTCACAGCCCTAAACTGGTATTGAGAGTGTGGGGACTGGGCCCCCAGCCTCAATGCTGGGCCCCACAATGACTGGTGATCTTGGGCCAGTCACCCACACTCTCTGGCCCCAGCTCTCCCTCTGTGAGATTGGCGTCATGACCCTGGATTGTAGGGTTCCTGTGGATGCTATCAGATTGTTCATGAAGCACTCGGACAGGGCGCTGGGTGGCCGTTATCCCTTCACACGTCTGCCTTCTGCAAAGCCCACCCAGGCCTGGGACATGCAGCCCTGACTGGAAGAATAAGTGGAGTCTTGTGCACGACACTCCCCTTCTCAAAGGCTTTCCTGCTTCAAGGATGAGGGGAAGGTTTGACCTCACGGAAAAATTAGTGAGCTGAAAACAGATGGAGGGCCTCGGCAGCCTCTGCACACCCCCTGCCAGCTGTGGAGCTGCCCACGTGAACACAGCCCCAGATGCCTGGACTCACCACGGCAGCGATGTTTTCGTGGTAGTGTCTGAAGGTGAAGCCATCTTGGATCCTGATGGTGGCCAGGGCCTCCAGGACTGAGGCGCTGAGATAAAAGAGGGCAGCAGTGCAGTGGTAGGCTGCGTCCTGAGGGGCAGATGGGGTGTCAGAGGGATGGGGAGAGAGAGATGGGGCCCAGATGCAGAGCTGAGGTCCCCTCCACCCCTGCCCTAGCCTCTTCCCCCACTTTCTTTGAATTCCACCCCTCCCGGCCACCTCATGGAGGTCCCATGCCTGCCTTGCAGTGCTGAGTCTCACTTCACTGCTTGGGGTCAGAGCAAGCACTTCCCTGCGGATGGGACACTGGTCTCCCCTGAGGAAGGGTCAAGGGAGAGGTGGAGGAGGGGCCAGCAACTTGGGGTGCCCCAGGGAGAAGCTGGTCCTTGATCTGAGAAGTGTTGTGCATGACCACAGTCCAGCTTGGGTGTGGCCTCACTGGCCAGTGCAGGGCGAGGGCGGTCCACACTTTCTATTGTGTTTTTTTGTTTTGTTTTGTTTCATTGCTTATTTTTGGCTCCTGGTATATTTAAAAGCATTAAAGGGCTGGGTGTGTGACTGTAATCCTAGAGCTTTGAGAGGTCAAGGCAGGAGGATCTCTTGAGGCCAGGATTTGAGACCAGTCTGGAAAACATTCTGAGATCCCCATTTCTACACAAAACAGTAAATCTTAGTTGGACACAGTGGTACATGGCTGCAGTCCCAGCTACTCAGGAGGCTGTGGCAGGAGGATCACTTGAGCCTGGGAGGTTGAGGCTGTAGTGAGAAGAGATTTCGCCACTGCACTCCAGCCTGGGCGACAGAACAAGACCCCCAACTCAAAATAAAGAAATAAATAAAAGTGAAAAGATACTAAAGCAAGGTTTTGTGTAGTTATGATTTGGAAAGAGGCTTGGCCAAATGGCCTCCACCACCTCTACAGTAGGGAAGGGCAGTAACCCACATGTAAAAGTTAACTTTTCATAGGCCTCAAAGCAGAATTTATATAGAATAACCACTGCAAACCATTTCTGTTTCCCAGTGTTCTCTGAGAGCCCTGCTTGGAAGTCAGTGGCTGAGGACCCAGACAGTAAGCATGGCCTGACCCCAAGAGCCAGGGCCAGTTTCCAGCCTGTGTCGGCCTCCGGGGCCCTGCTCCCCTGAGACGAAAACAGCCCTCCTGGATGATGGGAGAAGTGGCAGGCACCTGGTGGGTGCAGGTGGTGTGGTGGCTGGGCAGCTGGTTATCTGTGGAAAGGCAGTTATGCAGGAGAACACAGAACAGGTCCAGTGAGGGTTGGCAGCACGGACCTTGCCTCTGTCCCTGACTCTCCTGATTCTGCTTCTGGGATCCCTGGGCAGGCTCAGCCTTGGAACATGGTGGAGTGACATCTATGGGGAAGTCTCACCTGGCACTGGAAAAGCCAGGCCTACTGGGCCAGGGGCCAGTACTACCCGCTCCCACAGCTGCCCTGGGCTGGACTCACCAAGGTGACCCAGGAAGTCTCCCCACCGTGGGCTCCAATTATGTACAGGACGATCAAGGTGGTGGTGGCCACAAAGCAGAACACCGACACGAACATCACCCAGCCCTGGACCAGGGGCCAGGGCACTAGGGAGGAGGCCACCAGGATCCACACCAGGCCCCCGAAGACCTGCAGGGGAGGAGCAGAGTGAGTGTCAGCCCAGAGGAGAGCCCCAGCCCGGGAACAGCCCCTGACCAGCAGTCACATGGGGTGACTGGGGTGCAGAAACACAGAAAGAGGGAAAGAGAACAGGGCAGGCATTCTCCTCCTCATTAAAAATGCAGCTTTAGTCCCCCCAAAGGCCCTGGGCTGGATCTCATTCCCAATCCCCTGCACATTTTCTTTGATTAACTTTTTTAAGAAAATGTTTTCTTGAGACAGAGTCTTGCTCTGTCGCCCAGGCGTGAGTACAGTGCCATAATCTTGGCTCACTGAAACCTCCGCCTCCTGTGTTCAAGCGATTCTCATGCATCAGCTCCCTGAGTAGCTAGGACTACAGGCATGCGCCATCACACCTGACTGATTTTTCTATTTTTAGTAGAGATGGGGTTTCACCATGTTGGCCAGGCTGGTTTTGAACTTCTGACCTCAGGTGATCCACCTGCCTCAGCCTCCCAGAGTGCTGGGATCACAGGTGCTGTGAGCCACTGCACCTGGCCTGATTAACTTTTTAAATACAGTTTAAATTTTTTATTTAACAAACACTTATATCAGACCTACATGCCAGGCAGTATCCTCAGCACTTTACAAGTAATAACGCAGTGATTCTCACAGCAACCCTATGAGTAATGCTGACCTGTTCGCCAGATAAGGAAACCGAGGTAGGTGGAAGTTAAGTAACTCATCATTCTGAGAAAGGATTTATGTCATTCAGTATCGTCATGAGAAGGCTACTATTTATTCTGAGATTCTAGGCTTTCTACTTGCTTTGATATTAAAATGTCCTTTCTTTTATGCAACTGTAGCGACCAGCAGATCCTTTCCGTCTTTATTTGGCAAGACAAATTAGCCACATTGTCAGTAGCCCCCCCAACCTCCTTTCTATCTCTCTTCCCTCAGTTTCCCTTCCCCCACCCTTTCCCCCACTCCTGCTCCACCTCCCTTCCCTTTTTCCTCCTTCTCCTCCTCCTCCTCCTTCTTCGCTCTCTCCCCCTCTCTCTTTCTTTCTCTTACTTACTGTTTCTTCTTCCGGATTCAAGCCCTTACATCCCCAAGTCTAGGAAGTGTTCTGACCACAGATGTGGAGTTGGAATAAAGTAACTCAAGTCAGCCTGGTCTCCTTGGGCTGCTGAGGATGGGAGTGAGGGAAGCACAGCCTCGTGGTTATCCACAATATATCCCAGTTGATGTCCCCAGGGTCAGTGAGCCCCATTTACTCAAAGAAGAGCAGACACAGGAGCCAGTAGTGCCCTCAGTGGCTTAGCCCCACTCCTCACCACGGATGGGCACATACAAACCCCGGCGGGGACTTTCTGCCCTTCTCTTTCCCTTCTCTTCATCTCTCTCTGCTCCCCCCAGTGAGAATCAGCTCAGCCTCATCCACAGGTTCCCCACTCAGATGGGGACTGAGCTCAGAGACTCTAGACCTATATGGAGATTCCTTTGCAGCCAAAAGTCTCCAAGGTACTACAGAGACATCTGGGGGACTGAGGATGGGATTGCCCTCTGAGGCCTATGTCCTCTGCAGTGTGAATTCACACAGCACCTTGACCCCCCACCTCCCTGGACCTGCTATCCACCTGCTGGGTGAGAGATACTACTGTCTTCACAGGTGTTCTTTTAGCTGCTTGTCTGAGAAGCATCAGGAGAAAATTGCACTTGGGTAGAAAAATCAGTGCAATGAAGACTCTGGATTTATTAAAACCAAGTTGTTCCCGAGGAATCAGATGTGGGTGTCTCTGATGAGAAGGCGTCCTCTGCTGATGGATCTTAGTTGCCTGAAGGCACATGGCAGGGCCGGTGGGATGCATTGTGCACCTTATAAAAATGGGAGCAAAATCAATTAAATAAAAATCCCCAAACCGCCATGAATAAGATATGTGTGTGGCTTTCATTCACCGTTGAGTTTAAGATCAAATGCGGCCTTTTCCATAGCGGGCACTGATGGAATTCAGGAGGCATGTGAGGGTGGCATGGAGAAATGGGAGGATCCACTGGACACATCCACAGGGCAGAGAGTGGTCCTGGCCTGGGAATCCCTCCCCTAAGCACCCTTTGCCTGGTGGCCACGTGACCCTCCGAGGAGGACCAAACTAAGTTGCCTCCTTGTTCACACGCTCTCGGGGAGTCCTGCATGTCTTCTCTGTAGCACTCAGCACAAACACAGGGGTATTGGATTAGGGACAACGTGGTGCTTCCCCTGACCAGGTGATAGTGGGCTTGAGGTCTGCATTGCTCACAGCTGCCTCCCTGGAGGGGGCCCGGAGAAGACCCATTCAGCCACCCATCAGTGTCCAAGTCAGCTAATGGGCCTTCAGCCTCCTGGTACCTGGGTGTGGCTAAACTAGAGCCACTTATGAACCAAACCCCAAAGGAGCAGCTTGGGTTGCACATGGTAGGGAGGAGACTCTGTTATGGAATCCCAGTGGGACCCCATGGGCCGAGGTGGTTATGGGTGACCAATGGGCATGCTATTGAGGAACACTGAATTTCACAGTGAGGCAACGATTCCCTGCTCCTTTACTCCTTTACTCTCTTTGCTTTTTCTGATGAAGGCAAGAAGGGCTCAGGGTGGAGCTGGGTGTCTGGAGTTCTCTTATAGTGCAGATAGGCAAAGGCGAACTGGATAATGACATTGTTTCTATGCTTATGATTGCAATGTCATCATTTGGGGGAAAATTAACTGTAAAATACATATGAGGTGAATTAATGCACAGGTGGCACTTGGAAATGGCAAATCTGAGAAGGTGGCCCCCAGCTCCTATCTGCAGAGTCATCTCTCTCCACTCCATTCTTCCCATGTGGCTTGAGATGTGATATGTGAGGAATCAAGGGCAGGAAAAGTGAGGGGAAGTCAGTGCGTGGAGGGCTGGCCACAGCCTCTGTGTGCACCTTGCTGACTGCAGCCACAGTGTGGGCTCTGAGCTTCCAGCAGCTGTGTGGAGAGCCTCGAGGTCAGGCTAGACTCTGCCCTGACTGTTCCAGTGAGTGCTTTTACCAACCCGATGAAGACTATTTTCCAGCTCCCTGGGAAATTCCATGCTCCCCACACTGGCATGCAGATTCCTGCAGTCTATAATGGGAACCCTGTCCACAGTTGCCCATAGAACAAAGCCTACCATGGGCTCAGCCCCAGCCTCTGTCCCCTGACAGATCTCAAAACCCCATCCAAACTCCAGGCCCTTCACCTTGCAAGTAGGTCTTTTAAAAAATTAGGCTGACTTTTTTCCTTTGCATGGTACATTCAGAGTGGAAAGGGAATATTTCAAGCTCAGAGGATGCTGAAGCAGTTGTGAGGGCTTTGGAGGCTGAAGGCTGGGCAGCTGGGCACAGGTCAAAGAGTGGCAGAAGATGAGGCTTGAGGGAGGGTGAGCCTCCAGCCCTGTTGTATGTAAAGCTGAGATTTGGTGTGAACCATGAGTCAAAGCTGGTTTCCATCCTGCTCCACCTACTAAATGTACAGAGCAAACAGAATAAGCAGGGCACCCTCACCAAGGAGATAAGGCACTCCTGGGCATGGAGCAATCCACTCCAGCCTGGCCTCAGGACCCACCCCACTGGCCAAATATTTGTTAAGAGCAAGGGAGTAGGTGAGGGCTCAAACATTTTCCTTCATCAAGGAAACTCTGGTGGCTCCCAGCTTCCAGGTGGCCATGCACAGAGGCAATTATTTTGAAAACATTGTTGACACTCTGCAGGCACGGCTCTGTATCCCCTTGGTTTCTGTCAACAGGTCAGACTTTGCCTGAGCCTGCAGCTGCACCCTGTCATTGTCCATCAAAATAGAGATGGTACAGTTGGCTGGGCAATCTCAGACAGAGATCTCCAGTTGCATGGCTGGAGAGGGTCAAGGGTTAAGCGCTCTCTGGGTCCCAGGGCCTTAAGTAAGAAGATGAGGATGGGGCCTTGGCAAACACTCTATCGTCCTCAGCCCTGACTATACATTAAGTCACCTGGGACACCTTTAGAAAAAAACACCAAAGCCTAGGACTCATGCCCAGAGTCTGATTCTGCGGGAAAGAAGCAGAGTGATGGGACAGATGCCTCAGACTCTTGGCCAAGGCCTCGTGATGTGCTACCGTAACATAAGGCCGTGGGCAATGCTCTGTAGCTCCTGTCTCAGGGCCCTGCCTGTCCCCCAGTGATTCCAGCTGACTGCTCCCCTCCCGGTCCTGCCTGGCCTCTCAGTGCAAAATGTCACCCTAGTGTTTCCTCTCCTCTCTCCACCTCTCCTCTCTTCGAGCTTGGATCTTCATCTTGCCTGGAACGTGAGACCGGCTTGTCCCTGGATGTCCTCTGAACTCCGAGATGCAGCCTCACTGTCTGAGGATGGGGGCCGAGGGGGTGCATGAGTAATTGGAGGCCCCTCCCAACTCTGATATGACAGAGCTGGAAACCACCCATCTTTAATTCAGTCCAGTTGGGGGTGCTGAGCAGAGTTGAGCTTCTCTAAGAACAGGGGATAATGTATAAAACTGGACAAAAAGTTTCCAAACAGTTCACACCTGTGGTCTACGTGGTGAAATTATGTTTGTGAAAAAAATTCTATCAGGAATTGTTTTCCTGGAAGCTCTTGTGTGAACTCGGAGAAGCGTCTCATGATTTCTTTCCAAATTAATCCATGGGAAGTAGCCAGGTTGTTAAGGGGTAGTTAATGGTGTATACTTTGGAGCCAGGGTTGATGAGTTTGAAGTGAGCTCTGTCACTAGCTGGGTGACCTGCTGTCCCTGGGCAAGTTATTGAGTCTCTCCATCCCCTCATCTGGAAAGTAGTGATAATAGTAGTTGTGACTCAGGTTATACCTGCAGGGGCCGGTACCCGGCTGCCACTAAGTGCTTGCTGTCACAAATGTCGTTAGATGAGGCAGCCTCTTCTGTAACTATGAAAAATCCCAGTGGTCTCAATATGATGATCTCAATATGCACGATCATCTCCTCCAAAACTTGTCCAAGAAGAGCCAGAATTTTAAA